TTCTTTCTAATAGATGAGTAAAATTCTATTGGATATATGCACCACAATTTTTTAAATCTACTCATGTGTTATAGGGCATCTGAGATGTCCCACAATTTGACTATTGTGAATAGTGTAGCAATGAACATGCATACACAAGTGTGTTTCCCACATCCTGACTTGCAGTATTTTGAGTAGATGGGTCAACCCAAGATGCCCCATGGCTGAGTCATAGGGAAGTTTACTTTTCTGAGGAACCTTGAAACTGCCTTCCAGAGTGCTTGTACTAGTTTACATCCCTACCAATAGGACACTGGTTTTCTTTGGGAGGGACTAGATTAATTTTAATTAAATATCACCTCATTTTTCTGGGTGCTGGTGGCTCATGCCTAGGGGGCTAACATTTGAAGTTTGATGCCAGATTTGTAGTTTGAAGCCAGCCCATGCAGGAAAATCTGTGAGATTCTTTATCTCCAGTTAACCACCAAAAGAGCTGCTAGTGGATCTGTGGCTCAAATGGTAGAACAGTAGCCTTGAGGGGAAAAAAAGCTCAAGAGACAGGACCTAGACCTTGAGTTCAAGGCTTAGGACCAGCACCCACCCCTGACCCTCAAAAAATTTTCCCCATTTACTATGAGGATCAAAATGGCAGGACTAATGTATTGTGCTTCTTTGATTATAGATACTAATTTTTTTTTTGGTTGTGGGGGCTGAACTCTGGGCCTAGGCGCTGTCCCTCAGCTCTTCAGCTCAAGGCTAGCACCCTACCACGTGAGCCATAGAGCCACTTCTGGCTTTTTTCTGCGTATGTGGTACTGAGGAATCAAACCCAGAGCCTCATGCATGCAAGGCACGCACTCTACCACTGAGCTAACTTCCCAGCCCCCAGATACTAATTTTTAATCCAGCTTTTTAGGAACATGCTACTTGTTTAAGAGGATTCATAGCTCCTATCCCCATCCTTCCCACTTTATGAAATAGAAAAGGATTTTCTTAGGTTTGTTTACAAGGTATGAGGAGAGGAAAGATAGCATTGTGGTTCATCCTGCTTGGGAGTTTGAAGCAGGGATTCCAGTCATAACCCTGATTTGAAATCAAGTTTTCCCCATCTCTGTGAATAAATAACCACCAAGAAACAAAGGTGTGTGCTGTGTAAGCAAATAACCTGTTCCTCTAAAAGCAGCCTCTTCTTCCTCTTGGAGTTTTTGTAGGGAAAGAACTGGTAAATTTCAGTTTTCATTTTCCCCTAGTTTGTAATTGTGAGACTCACTTGTAGTTAAGGCACAAATTGACTAAACTGAAGGAATAAATTCTTTACCTCTCTCACAGATAGGTGCAGGCCACTGTGATGTGACCAGAATTGTGGCATGGGACATTGGGAAGTCGCCTCCACCCTGCCTTTATTTATCCTGCCTTTCTTCTGCAGTGCACATGTGGTGTTGATCTTTCTGTCTAGAGCTCCAAAAGCAGCCTTTATGGAAAAGGAAATAGCGCCATCCTTGACCCTGATGATGGCAGCCTTACATGAAACAACAGGAGGAAAGAGATGCTCTGAGCATGTGAGCTTCCATAACAGGTCAGTTTGTACTGCCTGTCTGCAGTCTCCAGACTTCTGTTATATCAGGAAGAAATAAATGGCTCTCCTATTTGTGTCACTATTGTTTGGAAACATTCTAGTAAAATCATGCACTGCATAAAGATCTTTTGGTCAACAATGGACTATGTATATGATGGTGGTTCCATAAGATCAAGGAGCTTAGGGTTGGAAAGGTAGCTCAGTGGTAGAGTGCTTGCCTTGCATGCATGAGGCTCTGGGTTCAATTCCTCAGCACCACATAAGCAGAAAAAGCCAGAAGTGGTGCTGTGGCTCAAGTGGTAGAGTGCTAACCTTGAGCTGAAGAGCTGAGGGAGAGTGCCCAGGCCCAGAGGTTTAGCCCCATGACCAGAAAAAACAAAGGAGCTGAAAAATTCCTATTACCTTATGATGTCATAGCAGTTGTAATTAGTGTCCTAGTATACCACATCGCTCACATGCATTTAGTGGTGTAAACAAACCTGCATTGTTAGTTCCATAAAGCATGTATAATTAAGTACAGCATGTAATACTTGAAATTCATAATAAATGACTATGGTACTGGTATTTACTATATTATTACATCCTTATTTTAGGACATACTACTTATAAAAAATGACTGTAAAACACTCCGCTGTGTTTACACAGCAGAAACCTGTGTTACACAGGCAGAAACCTTATACATCTAGTGTGATTTGTTCCTTGATTAGTGATTGACCTGTACAATCTAGGTTTGTGTTAAGTATGTAGTGATCTGTGATGATCACATGTGACAACATCACCTAACAACACAATTCTCAGAATATGTTCCCATTGTTAAGTGACATATACATGACTGTATATGTAGCTCTATCTAATGTGAATTTTGCTTCTGTATGGCCTTGAACAAGACATGTCCCTTCATTGTGACATTCCCTCATGAACCATGCCCAGTTAGACATTGAATCTTGTATATGATTCTGAGATCATGTGCTTTTGTCTTACCAACATCAGTCCATTTTTATTGGGATCAGCATCTAATTTTATCTTTAGGGAACTACTCCCTTCTTTCCCATCCTCAGTCCTAGTGCTTAAGTGAGATGGTAGTACTTCCTGGTCCCATAGTGAACATGTGGCCCAGGTCCAGCAGCTGTATTGAGCATCTTGCCATACTGAGTTGCAGGCAATGAGGCAAGAATCCTGTTCTCTCAGTCTAGATATAGAGCCCTGTGTTGTGTGTGTGATGTGTGTTCATAGGGGAGGGGGTCAAAGATACTTTCCCTGGCCTTTATTAGTGGTTTCCCCAGCATCCTCCTGAGTTAGGGAGGTGTTCCTGAGCCCCCACACTGTAATACCCCTTCCTGTGTTGAGGGAACCTGACATGACATCTTCATGAAGTGTATGTTTATATGCTCATTGTTCCAAGTAAGGAGAAAACTGAATCCTAGGAGACAGACAGGTCTAGGCAACCAGAAGTGGACACAGTCTAGACAGTTCTGTGTCTTAAACCAGTGTTCATCCCCCTCACTCTGGGGAAAAAATAAGTTGGAGTAAGTTCTACCATAAATCAGTGGAATCTGGTTTCTGAGCAACATGTCCAGAGGCCCAGAGCATGGGCAGGAAAAAAGCTAGGATCTTTCCTAAGATCCTGGACAGCCTTGAGAATACAGAAACTGGGCCTAATTCACCTCTCTAGGTACCTAGAGCTAAGAGCGAGCCCTCTCCATGACTATAGACAGGGGCTATAGCAGATAAAGTCTCACTTTCCTCCAGTATACACTAGGAGGTCTTAGAGTAAATGGCTTCAAAGATGCTAAACATGTGTCCATTAGCCCAATTGTCCATCAATGGCCTGTTGTGTTCTGGTGCCCTGAGAAAATGCTTTTATCTCTGTGGAGGTCCTTCAGAACAGAGAAGTTTGGGGGCTTGGTGGATAATGACTTGCTATAGGGTACAAGGTGCCAGAATACTGGATCCTTTGAGTCTTTATTTGTCCTAACAGAGGGAAGGATGTGCCCTGAGTGAGCTGAACAGGTCAGGAAGTGTAGGCAAAGTGATAAAGGGAGGCTTCCAAAGTTACCCACCCTCCTGCTAGGGCGGGATTCCATGCCCTCTTGCCCTCATCCCTTGGAGAAGCACTTCCATAAGGCCTCCTGAACCTGATTTGTATGTTGGTGTTCCTGCCTGGGGGCTGCAGTGATGGCTCTGGCCCCCCAATATGGGCAGCCTCTTGTGTCAGCGGCGCCTTGGGCTTTGCAGCCAGGGAAGAGTCACATAGCAGTCATTCTGTCCTCCCACCGCAGGCCCACCTTGTGCCTCCTATGATTACCTCTAGAATCAGAGGAAATGTAGAGTCAGTAGGAAATGTGGGGAGGAGGGGAAAAGGGCTCCATGATCTTCCCTTTTATTCACTCAGCAACTCTACCCTGATCACTGAGTATGTACAAAGTAACTGGTGGACTCAGCGTGGGGTACTGAAAACTGCTGAGTCCCTGAATCCTCAGAGCTCAGTATGGGGGGAGACAAAGTATGAATGCAAGTACATGTGGAGAGTAGAGTGAAAACAAAGCAAGATAACATTGAGATAGGGCTGGGGAGCCAGGAGGGTGGGAAGTAACATGCTGTGACCAGAGGCACAAGTGGGAGCAGCTCTGAACTACGTCAGGTAAAGGTGACACTGAGCAGACACATAGTTTGACAGAGGTTAAAAAGGCAACCAGTGTAACCAAAGACTCTGCAGGCAATTGGCAGGAGGCAGGACCAGCTCTTGGGGCCTGGTAGTCTGCACTTGTGGAACAGGCAGATTTCAAGTTGTATGCTGCTCTGCATCCCTCCCATTCTCATTCTTCCAGCCCTAAGTCTGCACATTAACAAATTACCTGTGATGCTAGCACACTGTTTTTAAGTCACCTGATGATGACCTAGAAAGCACACTTGGATGGTCCACACTGTGCAGGCTGCTGGTTGGCATTGGAGGTGGGGGTGATGGGCAGGTCCTGAGAGGCACAGTGAATTAACTGATGGGAAAAGGAGGTTCTGAGCACAGCTCTTATCTCATCTATCCTCTGGGCTTAGATGCATTCAGATCTTGGTGACGATGGTAACATTGTGCATTTCAGGAGATGACATGGAGGAAGGGGAAGAGTCACCAGGCAGGAGAAGCCTTTGTGTAATTCTTTTTGAAGGAAGGGGCCCAGATGATGAAAACTGGTGATAGATCCCAGCAGAACTTAAAACTCTCATAACTAGGACCCATGTTCTAGAAACAGCTCCCCATACATCTCTTGACCATAGACTTTCCAGGGAGCAAGTTGTTTCCCCAGTTTTCAAAGATCTGGCCTCTGGAAAATTCAGAGTGAGCGTCTTTTCCACAACTGAAGACATTGGCCCTGTCAGTGATAAAGCTATAGTACTTGGCACAGTTCAGGGATAGATTACAGTCCATTTTGTGATGGCACAAAACAAAGCTTTATTTGGTGTCAGGGGTAGGTTGGGGCAAGTACAGGCCCTGGAGGGTGTCAATGGAGCGCTTCCAGCTGTCCTTCCAGCGTTGAGCATCCTTTATCTGTGCCGTGCTTTCATCCTGGATCTTCTTCAGCATTTCTGCATACGATGCTAAGAATTTCTGGAGAAAGCAAGAAGGTTCATGGGGAGGGAGCCCTAAATAAGCACTGGTGTCTGGGGCAAAGAGCTTTCAACCCTGTGGGCATCAGCACAAGTTCCACAGGTCATTCCTCATCAAGTCACTCAACAGTCTGGAGAGACAGTCCTCTTTTCCTTCTTTTACAGATGCAAAGACGGAGGCTCAGAGTTTTGACTAGAGTCACCCAGCTTCTGAGGCTGAGTAGGACCCATGTTTCTAGGGCTCTGGGCCCTGTGTCTTCCTGACCTGTCCTGCAGTGGAGCCCTCCTAAAGTTCAGTGGTCCTCACTTCTACAGGAGGTGGTGCCTGGGCCTTCAGCCCTCATTGAACTCAGAAGGAATATAATTCTGTTTCCTGGCCTGGGGGTAGGGACTAGCCCTAGGGAATCAGCAGTACTTCAGTTTCTCACAATACCTAACCAAGGAACTTCTGGACAGGACAAGTTTTCTCTCTGGGCACCAAGACCCAAGGTCCATGGGTCTTCATAGCAGGGAGAGGGCCTTCAAGTGACACTTGGTGCATTCTTCTCAAGCCAGTCCCACGGAACTGTGACCAGTTAGTTCCTAACTCTGCCACTCCTTAGTGGCAAAGAGGGCAAATGACTTTTGGTGTTAGTGTCCCTCTCAGTGAAATGGGGGAAATAATTACATTCCCCCAGAAGTTGCGAGGAAGATTTGATGAGATGTCACATGTCAAAAATAGAAGGTAGGGGCTGGGAAGGTGGCTCAGTGGTAGAGCGCTTGCCTTGCATGCCTGAGGCCCTGGGTTCTATTCCTCAGCACCACATAAGCAAAAAGAAAAAAGCCGGAAGTGGTGCTGTGGCTCAAGTGGTAGAGCGCTAGCCTTGAGCTGAAGAGCTGAAGGACAGCGCCCAGGCCCAGAGTTCAGGCCCCACAACTGGACCCCCCCCCAAAAAAAATAGAAGGTAAATCATGTGCTGGTGACTCATACATGTAATCCTAGCTATGTGGGAATCTGAGAAAGGAAGATTCAGTTGGAGGCCAGCCTAGGCACAAAAGTTCATGAAACCTCTTCTTAACTAATAGTTGGGCATAGTGGTGTGTGCCATAGCTACATAGGAGGCTGAGATCTGGAGGATCACTGTTCCTGGTCAGTCTGAGCAGAAAAGACAGAGACTTTTTCAACAGAAGAAACTCAGTGTGGCAGTATCTGTCTTGACAGCTAAGGTGGGAAATGAAAAATAGAAGACACTATTGTCAAGCAAACTCATCTCAAAAATAACCAGAGCACAAAAGATCTGTAGGTGTGGCTCAGAAATAGAGTATCTGCCTAGTTAGTACAAGGCCCTGAGTTCAACCCCTACTCCTACTGCCCAAAATTAAAAAAAAAAATAGAAGGGGGTTTGAGGCTGTTAGTACTTGGGGCTGTTAATGTTCTAGCTACCATGCCTCAGTGGAATCTACTGCTACCATTGTCTCTGCCTGTCTGCTCTGTTCCCTGACTCTGCTGTCCTTCTTGCAAAGCTTTTCTCCATGGCCAGTGTGAGCGATGGACCTCTCTGCTGGGCTCCTACAGCACCAGAGCTCCCACCTCAAAACCCTGTAGCACTGGGCTGGTCATGACCTTTGGCTCACATTCTTGGACTTATCTATGGATATCAGCTATCCTGAGTCTTGAGACCAGCAGCTCAGGGGCACACTGACATTGTTGTTTGTTCTTTGGGCCAAATATTGGGGTACCTAGTAATGAGGAGCTCTTTCCTCCTCAAGGCAATGAAACTGCCCTGTGTTCCCTGGGACACCCCATCCCACCCTGCCTCACCAGGTACACAGCATCTCGGGCTTCCACGGCTGCCAGGTGGCCCAGGGTGGTCTTCGTGGTGGCAATTGAAGGTGTCTTCCGAAGAAGAATCTTGGTTTGGATGGTGACCTCGGTGGGCTTGATTCCTGGCCACTTCCTACAATATGCATGGCTTCCTCATTCCTAATCCCCCCACTATCCCCATTGGGAAAGCTTTTTATTATGGCTTTAAACTGCTATATTATATATATAATATATATATATATAATATATATTATATGTATATATATGTATTATGTAGGGACATATATATATATATATGGTCCCTAGAGCATTTAATGTAGCTTTTCAGTTCTCTGAATCTGTTTCCATACTGCTACCAAAGTATGGACCAAGCACTGATTTGGTGTACCTACCATGCCTCAGTGGGAATCTATTGTTACCATTGTCTCTGTGCCTGTTTGCTCTGTTTCTTGACTCTGCTATCCCTTGACTCCCTTTCCTCAGCCTCAGTTTCCTCAGCAGCCAAGGTAGGGAGTCTCTGAGTCCTGGCTCATATTCTTAAAATTCTGTAGAGGTCCCAACCAAGAACATAGCTGGGAGAGTCACTGCTTTTCCCACTTGTGCAGAATTCTGTTCTGACAGCAGCGAACTGAGAAATGCACCTCCTCCTGGGACAGACCACTCTTTCTTTGTGAGACCTTTAGCCAGTAGTGCTCCATGAATAACCCTCCAGGGGTGCTCTCCATGAACAGCCTCCCCTTCCTCTTCATATCAGCAGACTGCCAAAGGTGAGGAAACTGAGGCTTGAGCTCAGTGCCTTTCCAAGGTTACCCAGTCTGAGCCATTCATGGTGTCTGTCCTTTGCTTCTCTAGACTCTTACCTGCTCCCACGTTCAATCAGGGGCTTCTCACTCTCTTCCTCCAAGGAGAGCCTGGCCAGTTTTTTCCGTATGAGGAGTGATGTTTTCTGCTTGGGGGGATCCATCTCTGACAGTAAAGAGACTGGTTACTGCCAGTGGCTAACTCAGGCTGACAGCCCGAGACAAATGGACTTCTCCCTTGGGTAACATTTAGTGACAGGTGCCCTAGCCCATCACAAGCCTGGCTTGCTCACCCAACTTTTCCAGTGCTTTCTGTCTGTCTAGCTGACTAGTGGTACTGGAGTTTGAACCCAGGACCTCCATCACTCAAACCATATCCTCAGTCCTTTATTTTAGATTTTTTTTTTGGATGGGGTACCTTACTTTTCTTAGCCCCAGACTCTGATCCTCCTAACTATGTCTCCAATGTAGCTGACAGAGTATGCCTCAATTGTGATTACTGATCAATTGTGATTACTGATCTTTGTCTCCCAAGTAACTAGGTTCTCATATAGCTAGGATTATAGGCTACCACACCCAGCTATCTGTGTGGTTTTGCTTTTTTAAAAATGAATTTTTAGGGCTGGGAAGGTGTCTCAGTGGTAGAGTGGTTGCGGTGCATGCATGAGACCCTGGGTTCGATTCCTCAGCACCACATAAGCAGAAAAAGCTGGAAGTGGTGCTATGGCCCAAATGGTAGAGTGCTAGTCTTGAGCTGAAAAGCTGAGGGACAGCACCCAGGCCCAGAGTTCAGGCCCCATGACCAACCAAAAAAAAAAAAAAGAACTTCTATTGGTATCTATTCAAATGCACAGAGTAAAGGGTTTCATCACGTGCCATTTCCACATGTGGAATATACTTTGATCATATATATGATCACATAAAATGTACTTTGAATATATATCATAGTCCTCCTGTTACTCCTTCTCAACCTCCTCACTTTCCTCTCTCTTCCTCTTCCCCTTCCCCTTCCCTAGTAGTGCTTCATTTACTTTCATGACCTTGGTGTTGTCTGTTTAATTTTCCCCTTGTTTCTACAAATGAGAGGAAACAGTCCATACTCATCTTTGAGGAACTGACTCATTTCACTTACCATGATCATTTCCAACTTTTTTCTCTCCTTTAAAAAAGATGGCCTGCTGATCTATAGATTGTTAAAAAAGTGTTCTAGTTATGGTTCCATACTTGACATTTTTCTGTTGTTTGGGCCTAAACAAAATGCCACTACTGCCTTCATAGCCTCTGGTTCTCAAGCCATATTTAGAGAAAAACAGATCTAACCCAAGGAATATGAAAATATTTGTGACTAGGGGGCCATTCTTTACAACCTCCTAACATTTGCCTTTTTAATAAAAAATTAATTTAAATTAAACAATCAAAGCCAGTCAGTCCCTCAATGAGAAACTGTTTGTACCCTGGTCGAGGTGGGGCAGGGCAGGGCGGACAGTAGACATCCTTTCTCCTCTCCCCCACCACTCCACCCAGCAAGCTCACTGCGGCCAGAGCATGGGACTGGCAGATAGCATACTTGCAGTTTGGATGTCGTCCACAGTGATAACTTCATCCAACTGCTGCAGAAACCTCTCGGTGAAGTTGGCCAAGCTGACTATGAAAAAGCGGCCATATTTCCAGGCGAATTCCTAGAGGGGAACAGAAGAAGCGAGGCTGGCCAAAGGAGGACCAGGTCAACTCAGCAGCAAGGATTTGGGGAACCCATTGGTGAGCCAGAGCCAAAGGCATTTTGCCAGTTTTGTCTGAATTAACTGGCCTCTGGTCATTAGAGCCAAGGGGCCCTTGCAAGTGTTGATTTGGCTTAAGATTCAAAGATGGTCAAGGACACACAGGTGAGAATAAAACTAGACAAGGTGAAAAAAAAACTAGATAAGGATCATGGGGAGAAATGTCATTACTGATTTTGTAAATAATGAATTTAGAAGTCAAGAGAAAAACACCCAATCATAACTGCTTCACCTCCAAAACCCACCCACTATGTTGCCTGCTTTGGCATAGGTTCCAACCAAAAGCCACACCCTGTGCTGCTACTGGCCACCTATGAAGGCCATCCTCCATGCTGCTCTCACTGTTGGACTGGAGAATCAATGACCATTGCTCACTGACCTCCAGTTTCTCTTCGTTGGTCTCAATTGCGTACTCCATATCTTGCTGTCTTCTTATTTCTGCTTGGTTTAGTTTCTCCATTTGTTGGGAATATGTGGGATGTCCAATGTTCGGATGGAGTCCTTGAGAATTTTTATCCTTTGATCAAACAACCCATATTTCAACATGGTTTAAACTTGAGATCAGGACTAAAAAGTCACCAGCCTATGCCTCTGTCAACTAAATCATGGTCAGACAGATGTGTTCTTTGACCTGAATTATAACCTGGGTGTGTAAGAGGCTATGGATGGGCAGAGGAGTGAGTGGCAGAAAAGATAAGATGGGGCATGGCTGAAGCCAGCTTCGGGAATTGGAGAGAGGGTGAGCTGAGCATCTGCTCTAGCGCAATCAGGGCATTAGTTCAATATAATCAGCGCTAATCATGTCTCATGGCTTTAAGAACCAGTGTGGGAAGCCAATGACCATGGCCCTATCAAATCCAGCCGATTCTCCCATTAAATACAACAGAGCTTAATGAATGCATTTGTGAAGAAATGGTGACTCTGTTTTTATTTCACAGTGCCTCCTGTTGTTCAGTTCCTATCTAACTTTCCCCAAACTGGCTCATCTTCTTACCTTGAACTTAGCCTCCCCAAGAGCTCCTGCCTCCATTCTGAAGTCCCAGCACTCCTCATCCTGGAGTGGCGTTGGCTGGTCCTACAACCCTTACCTTCTTTTTCTCTAGCACTTTCTGCTGTCTCGCAAAGTCTTCCTGGATGTCATTCATGGCAGTGCAAAACTTTTTCCAGTGCTGCTCCTTGAAATTCTCCATCACCAGCCAACACACCTGGGGTAGGAGCTCCTCAAATCTCCTCACCTGGGCTCGTAATTCTGTAAGAATTGAAGGTAGAGAACTAGAGGAGGGGACGGAGTAGAACTAAATTGCTGAGGTGATCTCTAACAAAGGCCCAAAGTAGTTTCCCAAAGGAAAATCTCTAGTCTCCCATGTAGTAATTGCCATTCCATCAAAAGGGGCCCTTTAGCTAAACCTAACAAGTTGAAGGGGCTCCTCCTTCCCACTCTGCTGATTTCTCAGCTCCTTTAAATTGTGTTGTGTCATTGAGCAGCTCTGCCAAGATCTCCCCCATTACTTCTTCAAATACTGCCTTGACTCTTGTCTCCTCACTCCTCTCTGTATGCATTTCCACCTGTCTCCCATGTTTTCATTTCTTTCTGTGCTGCATTATGAGTATTTGTCAGTACACTGATTCCACTTTCAGAAGTTATCACTTGGTAGTAAACTCAGTCATGTTTTTAAATGTTCAATACTTCACGCTCACTTTTTAGAAGTTCCATTTTTTCTCTTTTCTACCTACTTGATCATTTTAATAATGTCTTACTCTCCTGTTCTTTACTCTGGGTTCCAGATGCCTTCTTTTATATTTATATTTACATTGTTTTATATTGTACTTTCAGTATCTGAAGTCTTTGCTGTTCTTGCCTGTACCTCTTGTTTATGGTACTTTGTTTCTTATGTTCTGTATGGGGGCTTGTTGTTAGTTGTTGATTATTCTGGGATTTTTTTGTGTGGGTATAGTCGGAGGCCTGCGTTGAAGGTAAGTTTTCTAGAGAGGTTTGTGGTGCTTCTATTAAGCAAGTTCTGAACAATCTCAATCAATTTAAGATTCTTTTTGGCTGATCCACAAAAACAAAATTGAATTCAGGTTTAAAAATCACTTAAGAGGCAATTTACAGTTCTGGATTCTCACTAGAGTTTGTTTTGTTTTGTTCTCCCAATAGCAAGGTTTCTGATAGGATAGTTTTCTTCTAGTTCATTCCCTTACTCTGTAGGTAGATTCCTTGGCGGGGTTCACCTTTATATGCAACTTCCTACTTTAGGTTGTCTTCATCAGATTTTTCTCTAGTTTCTAGTACCCTAGAGGCCATGGAAATAGAGGCTCAAATTCACCTGGGGGGTCAGTAAATGTATTTAGGGAAGTGACCAACGTTTGCTCTGAAGTTACCCTTTAGATTTCCTATTTGCACTTAATCATGGCTTTGTGTGTTTCTTTTTTTTCTTTTTTTTTAAATAGCTACCTCATCAAGACATTTAAAAGACTCTATTCCCCAAATATTGTAACCTAGCAGTTTACAAGTTTGCAAATGGAGAGTTGGCAACAATACTGGACTTCCAGAAGAAATAGAGGTCTCTCCTGAGGGAAAGTTGAGTCTGCCACAGTGTTACCTAATCTATAGCACTTCCCAAGCCCATTTGACCACAGGACCTTGGGGCAAGTGTGACCCGGAAAAGCAAAATGCTGATTGTCGCTATAGAAGGAGGAACTCCACAGAGACAGAAAGTGGGATGTTGCTTACTTAGGGCCAGGAGAGGATGGGAAGTGATGATTGCACAGTTCTGCAATGAATTTAAAACCATTGAAAGGTAAGAAAATAGGTCTGTAAATCTGTCAAAAATAACTGGAAGAGCTGGGCACTGGTGGCTCATGCCTGTATTCCTAGCTATTCAGGAGGCTGAGATCTGAGGATCACAATTCACAGCCAGCTCAGGCAGGTAAATTCATGAGACTCTTATCTCCCAATAAACTACTTAGAAAAAGCCAGAAGTGATACTGTGGCTCAAGTGATAGAGTGCTAGCCTTGAGCACTCAGAGGCTCAGGGACAGCATCCAGGCCCCAAGTTCAAGCCCCAGAACTGGCAAAAACAAAAACAAAAAAACAAACTAATGTGAAGAAACCGTCTTTTTAGTGGTAAAGGTCAGATTTCAATGGGCATGGTAGTGCATGTTTATAATCCCAGCACTCTGGAAGCTGAGGTAGGAGATCAAGGCCAGCCTGGGCTAAATATAAAAACAAAAACATCCACATTTTTCAAGAAAAGTGAGTGTGTGTGTGTGTGTGTGTGTGTGTGTGTGTGTGTATGCGTGCGTGCGCACACACCCACATATTTCCCCCAATTAAATCTGTTCATTGCTTTTGCCCAATTCTAAAGGTCAGCTTTTCACAGGGAGGTTACTTTGCCTCCCCAGTCACTCCACATGAGGAGAGACTGAGGCTGAGTTCCATCACTGGTTTGTGCCACACTTATTTTCCAGTCTGTTGCCTACTCACCCATGACGCAGGAGTTGTGATATTCATCTGTTTGGCTTTGGTACTCCAAGATCTTCCTGGTGATATGCTCAACACACTGGTCGAAGTTTTCATGCATACAGTCAGGCTTGCAGACCGGACGCTTCTCTTTGCGGTAAAACTCCTGCCAGAAGAGTTCAATCACGTGTAGGTGAGGGCTTTCATCCCAGGACTGGGGCCCTGGATTCCGGTTCCCTCAACACCACACCCTTAAGCTTTTGCCTGTGTTGCTCCTGCAACATGCAGAACCTATCTAGCCTGGCTCAAGACCATAGCTGGCCTTCCTTACTCCTTGAATGGGTGAACAAAATCCTATTTCTCCTTCTAGACCTCAAATTGTAACTAGGTCGAGTGCTGACTAGGAAGCACCAAGCTGGATGTAGCCTATAGGCCATAAAGCTAGATGAGCTGAAGCAATGGCCCATTCCCATACCCCTGCCTGGTCCCCTGTGCCCTATACCATGCCTGTTGACCTTCTGCTGGGTACTGGGTACTTTGGGGACAGAGACTGAGTTTGTTCCTCTTGGCACACTAATATCTGGCATGCAGTTGGTATCCAAGAAACATTCAGTGACTGATTTAAGTAACTGAACAAATGCTTAAGGACCTAGGGATGATTTCTAGGAAGGCCAAAGCCACAAGAAGACAAGATTTGAGGAGACTTGAGGGGTCTCCAGCCGCTGCTCCTGAGTGCTCATGATCAGCAGACTGCAGAAGGTAGAGACAGCTGGGGTGTGTTTCCAGTGTGGGTGCAGGCTCGTGGGCAATGGTCCTTACCTCCACAACAGTCAGCAGGTTGTCATTGCTCTCCCAGAGGTGGCTTATGATGATCCCTTTAAAATCTCTGCAATATGCACAAGCAGATCTGTGAGGGGCCTCCTCTAGATACACCAACAGGGACAAAACCAGAACATTCCAAGTGCATTATTTTAGCCCTGTCACTTCTTTTTTGTGGGTCTGGTCGTGGGGCCTGAACTCTGGGCCTGGGCGCTGTCCCTCAGCTCTTCAGCTCAAGGCTAGCGCTCTACCACTTGAGCCACAGTGCCACTTCTGGCTTTTTTCTTTTTGCTTATGTGGTGCTGAGGAATCCAACCCAGGGCCTCATGCATGCAAGACAAGCGCTCTACCACTGAGCCACTTTCCCAGCCCTAGCCCTGTCACGTCACTTCTAATAGCTGCTAGCTGCTTGCTATTGACAGGACCTTTGCACACCCCAATTCACCTCCAAAACAGTTGCCAACTTCCTTCTCGGTCACATTGATTCCTGTTCTTACTCAGACTGCCTAATTCTATAACTCCAGAGTATCCCTCGCCTCCTACAGAGATCTAATCAGGTGGATTGATTTGACTGGCTGATTAATCTACATATTTCTCCATATTTTGCAACAGACTCTAAACTATACCAGGTGTTTAAAATACTGAGAATCATTGGGCTGAAACAGCTGTGCTGCCTGGGGTTAACTACATGAGTAAAGCAGAACCCAATTCAGAATGAATGGTCATAGTTTAGGAAAACAAAATGAGCTTAACCAAGGAGAAACAGGCAATTTACTTCTAAGCGGGAACTTTTCATACCAGCTAATCTAATATTTTCTTCATCTTGACTCTGCAAATACCTTATACAAGTTTTCTCCTTTCTCCTGGTACACCCTTGGTAGAGCCATGAACCATAAGTGCCTAGCACTGCCAGTTCACGAATCCCTATTTTCTCAAGTAAACCCATTAGCATTGCCATGTGCCCAAGTTCATCCTCAAACACGGGGCCTGGTGTGTGTGTGTGTGTGTGTGTGTGTGTGTGTGTGTGTGTGTGTATGTATGTGTATGTGTGTGTACACATGTGTAGAAGGCACTGAGTTTTGAATCCAAGACATCTTTCTCTTGCTTTATTTTCTTGCTCACAGTTGGCACTCTACCACTTGAACCACACTTCCAGTCCAGCTTTTTGCTGATTAATTGGAGATGGAGTCTCTCAAGGCCTTTTCTACCCAGTGGCTGGCTTTGAGTCTTGATCCTGCAGATCCTAGCCTTCTGAGTAGCTAGGATTATAGGTATTGGCCCCCAGCCCTTGCTACTTTTACTGTCTTTGATTTCTTTTTCTTTCTTTCTTTTTTTTTGGGTCTGGTTGTGGGGCTTGAACTCTGGGCCTGGGTGCTGTCCCTCAGCTCTTCAGCTCAAGGCTAGCACTCTACCACTTGAGCC